GTAAGCTTAAAATAGGTTTCATGGAATAGTTAGTCAATGTTTTTGAAATCTGACATCTTTTTAAGAGATAGATACAGAACTATGTAATTTTAGATTGAACAGAATTTGATCACCAGTATAACTAAGTGTGTGGAGTGTGGGCTTACATCAGGTATGGGCAAACCCAGACACAGGGGCTGGATGCGGCCCCATGGGCTCTTTTCTCAGGCCCTATCTTTCTCTCCCCATCCTATACTTCCTTCTTTCTTCCATTCTTCCCTCTCTCTTTCTCCTTCCTTCCTTCCCTTTTGTCCTTCTCTCTTTCCTCCCTACCCTCCCTCCATTCCCTTCACCCCTTCCTTCTATCCTTCTCTTCCTCCCTCCATCCATTCTCCTTTTCCTTCCTCCTTTCTTCCTGGAGGATGTGTAGCTGGGAGAAGAGAAATGGCTCCCTGTGACAGACAGCCACCTTTAATATAACACAGTTCAACAAGAATTTAATGAGACTGGTGCTGGAGGAGGCAGTTGAGCTAACATTTTCATCCTCTCCCCATGTGAAAGCCTTAATGCTCTCAATCAGATCTGATTTTTTGAGGTAAGAAAACCAGCTCAGGACTGATGAAGTAGAAAATGATAGATGAGTAAACATTGTTCACCCATTCTTGTTCTCCAGCTGCAGTTTCTGCTTTGAACTTAGTACCAAACATTGGTTCTTGTGTTAAGAACTTAGTCATAAGATCATTTGAGAAGATAACTCAAATAACTATCTTATATGATGTCCCCATCTTATGGGCATGCTCTGGCCTCTCATTAGTGTTGTGATTATTAGTGTTGTGATTAACATTGAAATGGCAAGGAGAAAATTTGCAGAAAAGAGACAAAGAGAGTTCCTGAGGTCTGAAAAAGCACGGGTTTATTTCCAGCTGGGACTCTGGAGTGGAGCTATGTCCAAAAGCAACCCAGAGTCCCAATAAAGGCATTGACTGCCTTTTTATACACTTCAAATGCAGGCAAACAAAGAAACATGCTTCTACATACATTGACATCATTCGCTGTGTCACTTTAGCATCACAGGAATATCAAATTCTATTTTCCAACATACAAAAGTCATGTTTCTGTATTTCTTTCTAAAAAGCAGCATACAGTTTACAGCTTTCATTCATCAATCAAGGGGCCTACTTTGACCTGTCATGAGGGAGAGATAGGCTCCTTACTCAGAAGGAAGATGCTGGGCTACCTTGTACCAGTCTCTGTTGCTACTAGGATGGGCTTATCTTCACCCCTAGAATGTTTACCTTCCTCTTACTGTGCCTGGACACAGCTTGCTTGTCCTGTCAGTAGCTTGTTCTTTCTATTACAGAGAGAGCCTGATTTTTTCTTTACATTTCAGTGCTTGTAAAGTACATACAATTTATGTATAAATAAATATCTATTTTTCCAATACCTCCCCATCAGCATGCTTTTATATGTGGAGATCTTTGATAATTCCACTGGCAGGAATGAATGGTCCAGAGGAACTCAGCCTAACGTGCCCACAAAAGACAACCGCTGCAGACAGCGGTGTGCCTTCAGAGTACGCTGTATGTTTAGCAAGCTGCTTATGGAGACTTTCACTGAAAGAGGCTTCTTGTTTGAAGGCAGCAGGCAGTCTTTGTCCTTTTGGGGAAAGGTGGCCAATGTAGGCCTATCTAATGTATGGGAATTTTTGTATACCACCAAATATGCTCCATGACAGGCTAATCAAGCAAAAAGCTAGCTGATGAGTAAAACCTCTCACTGATGGTATAGAATTTCTTCCTCTCCTTGTGAGAGGGTGTGAGATATGCCTCTAATAGATACTGTGGTCAGGCAAAGTCAAGTAGTGTGGAATTTACCTTAGATAATGTGAAGCCATTCAGCATGGTAAAGATCTACCAGATACAAACTCTCCAGCATCCAATGGGTTGTGGGAAGAGTGGAAAGCGGGATCCCTAGGGCACAAATCAAGGAGTTGGATTTTACCTATAAGACCTAAACAGTTCAGGCCCAGCCTGCTTGAGGGACAATATCTCCTCCTACAAGCCTGCACAAGCCCTGAGATCATTAGGAGAGGCCCTTCTCTCAGTCCTGCCATTGTCTCAAGTGCGGTTGGTGGTAATGAGAGAGAGGGCCTTTTTGATGGTGACCCCATGGCTCTGGAACTCCCTTCCCAGAGAGGTGTGATCAGCCCCCTCCCTGCTGGCCTTTCACTCTCAGGTTAAAATCTTTTTATGGTATCAGGTCTTCCCATACAATAGGTCTATATAACCCTGGCTGTATTAAGTCTCTCCCACTTTTGGTATGGTAATAATTTCTGACAACTTCCATGTTTGGGGGACTTTTTGCTTGGCGTATGTTTCATTAAATAATTATGTTTAATGTGGTGCCAATTCCTCCATATATGTTTGATAATATTCTGCTGGAAATCCATCTGGCCCTGGTGATCTGGCCCCCTTTAACCCCTTTATTACCCTTAATATTTCCTCTTGTGTTATTGGTTGATTTAGCAATTCTATCTTTCTCTGTATTTTTTCTTTAATATTTAAACACCCTTACACTACCCTTTCCTCCTTATATAGATCTTTATAGTATTTTGTCATTATCTTCCTAATCTTACTTGCATCTCCAATATAATAAACCAATATAATAAATTACACACCAATATAAAATTAAACATTAAAATACAAAAGATTACACTGGGCAGGGCCAAATTCAAAGATAAAATTTTAGAACACTCGGAGAGAGGACAATGTATATTATCAGGGAAGAGGAGGAGGATCTGGGGATGCGGGAGGATTTAATTTCACAAACCATGAAATAAAGTGCTTCTGAGGTAATTTTATGCAAAGTTTGGTCTGGGAGTATCTAACATTCAATTATTGAAGGCACATTGGAATAACCAGGTTTTCAGGTTCCTCCTGAAGATTGCCAGCATGGGGGCTTGCCTAATATCTCTGGGGAGTGAATTCCAGAGCCGTGGGGCCACCACAGAGAAGGCCCTCTCTCTTGTCCCCACAAGTCGCATTTGCGATGCGGGCGGGAGCAAGAGAAGAGCCTCTCCGGAAGATCGAAGAGGTCATGTGGTTTCGTAGACGGAAATGCAGTTACGCAGGTAGGCGGGTCCCAAACCGTTCAGGGCTTTGTAGGTCAAGACCTGCACTTTGAATTGGGCCCGGAAAATAAACAGCAGACAGTGGAGCTCCTTAAACAGGAGGATTGACTGCTCTCTGTAATTCACACCAGTTAATAATCTGGCTGCCACCCATTGGACCAATTGGAATTTCTGGGCTGTCTTCAAGGGCAACCTCATGTAGAGCGCATTGCAATAGTCCAATCTAGAGGTAACCAAGGCGTGGACCACCGTGGCCAAATCTGACTTCACGAGGTATGGTTGCAGCTGGCGCACTAGCTTCAATTATGTGAAGGCCCTCCCAGCCACTGCCAATGCCTGAGCTTCAAGCGTTCTAAGGTTTACCTCTAAACTTATATAGTATAGGGAGGGGGAGGGAGGCGGGAGAGTGAGAGCAACTTAACCTAGAATGAAAATTGGTTAATTCATCACAACAACCAGTTCTACATTTCACCTCTAGAGGACCTCTAATTTGACTTATGTGGTCACGCCACCTTCTTAATCTCCTTCCCATCTTTTTCTTCTTCCCTCCTTCCTGTCCTTTCCTTCCTTCCATTCACTTTTCCATCTATTTTTCCCATTTCTTCCCCTTTTCACTCCTTCCCTCCCTCCTTCCTTTTTTCCTCCTTCTTTCTCTTCCTTCCATTCTGTCTTCCTTCCTTCTCCTGCATGTGAGGAGGATTTCTGTGTGTCAGGGAGTGGGGATTTAGGGGGTGGGGTGTGAGGCTGCATGTGTACATGCACTGTGTGCTTCTCATGCCCTGCCTCAGCCAAAATGGTGGCAGAGGCAACAGAGGTAACTCAGATCTCAGCTCATATTTCAAAGCCAAACATTGAAGGAGTTTACTATCACTAAATGGAAGAACCGGGCTGACAGTTTCTCACCATGTTGCAACAGTGAATCAAACCAATGATATTTGCAGTGATAATAAAATGTCTTTATTGTCTGCATATTTCATCGGTTACATTCATTTTGGAAAAATAGTAAAGTGTCTCCAGTCCTGCTTTTTATATCCGGAATACTTTTATCAGTAAACATATACAGAGTCAAATGCAGAATAATCCTTAGCCTCAATGATTTCAGCACAAATTAAACCTACAGACTGTCACATCTTTGTATGGAAAATGTGCACACCAATAAATGTACAAGGCATGTATCACACTTTAGTTTGGCTGATTGCTTATGCAAATAATTCAGATTTGAAATAATGGTGTAGCCTTCTGTAAAACAATAGATAAGACAATAGACATAATCCAATGAGATAGTATAATTAGAATATATCAGGCAACTTGAAAAGAGATAAAAAGGCAACACCAAAATCTTTTCATCTAGAATAATTATTTGAGGAAATTTGTTATTTATTTATTACAACTATGCAAAAAATAGTTTAGAAATATTACTCATCATGTTGAAATAATACTTCCAAGTATCCTTAGAATTCCTGCCAATGTCTTCCTTTGACAAGATATTCCAAATTAATTTGGAATTTTGCTATATTATAAATTGTAGCTTGAAATTTATGTGTGTCCTAATGAAAATGTATCTCTTCCCAAGATATCTCCACCAGTCCTTTGCTTCAATGGATTACTTCCATCTTGAATTTCATTATAGGCAAAAAAATCTTGTCAGTTTCAAGAAAATCAGTTATCTGAAATCATGTTGATGAGGACATTTGCAGTGAAAAGGAGAGAGCAAGGGTTCTCTCTACTCAAATAGCAATGGTGGCTCAAACACATGGGGGCTATTACTCAGCACGCCTTAATTTTGTGTATGTAACTGAAAGCAGCAATTTGATGTATTTCTTTCCCATTCTCACTTGCCTATCTTTGATATGCAGTTATCAAAATAACGGATTTACAGCATAACAGATCACAGGATTTATGTGAGTTTACTAGCATACATATGTACAGCTTTAGGTAGATCACTCAAAACTAATATTTACAGTGTAAACATCCACTTTTATTATATCATATAAGAAACAAAAATATCACAAATTTCACTTCACAATATATCTGTTTTGGCTTAAATACTGAAATTATTTCTTTGAAATACTATGAGAAACTCAAAAAATAGTTTGATCTTGTCTTTAGGACTTTAGAAGGTTTTTTTTGCAGGATCTCTTTGTTAGGTTGGCTTCAAAGGTTCTGAGAAAAAAGAGAGAGAGAGTATTTTAGAGGCATTAATTTGAAAAGAAATGAATGCGCCACCCTCCCCTAAGTTTGGTTCAAAGATTGTACAACAGCCTTGAACTTAAAAGCAAAAGAATCCAGAAGACTCTGAATTGTTCTTCATAGACTTTTAATCATACTACTTATCACAGTACTTATTTTGGTCGGCACCTCATCTAGAAAATTATTGGCACTATGCTTCACATAACAATGGAAATCTGGGGAAGTGATGCCCAGTTTTAGCAAGCTAAAATGTAAGCCATTACATGTCTAGATTTTCTTAAATCAGGTAGACTATTTCATAAAGCAGGTTGACATTGGATGCATGCAGCATTTTCAAAGAGCATGTTATTGTCTAGAAACTCCATGAAATACCTTGGCCCAACTTACCAGGCCAAGCAGGTTGTGGCGCAGGGTGGCCTCACCACCATTTGTCACAGGGGGCTTCTTCCCAGAAACCCCCTGGGTGGCGAGAAAGCTTCCCGCCGTCAGGGCCTCCTGGCCAACAGCAGGGCTGGCCCCGCCCTGTTGCTGGCGTGGCTGGGGCCAGCCTGTGGCTACTGCACGGGCAGCCTACTTAAGGCTGCCCGAGGTCTAGAAAAAGGCACTTGCCTGCTCCAGCTTTTCCATTCCACCCACCCTGCATGTTAGTTGATTTGTGAATTTTGTGGGCCTGTTATGTTAGCCTAATTTTTTAGCTTGTTTATCTTGTCACAACTCTGTGTTTGGCATGTGGCATGGGCCCTGGATCTGGCCGGAAATCGCCCCTTGGTGGAAGGGGGGATAACACCTGTGGTTCCTGGGGTGCCGAGTTTATGGTGACTGGTATTGTGCTGGTCGCACACAGGCTTGTAGCATCTTCAGTCAGCAGCGGGTTTCCTGATTCCTAATCCAGGACCCATGCGTGGCTGCCAACACTTGTTCCTGTTATTAACAAATAAGTTGTGGCCAATTTTCTCTCCAATCATCTTGCGGACGTGTCTTTTTCGGTTGTCTGGAGGGAGGTATATCACCCTTGCACACGCAAGCACCCATGAGAGTGATAGATAAGAGGGTAAGATTCTTTTCCCCCCCTCAAAATTCATAATCCACATAAGGATCTACAATGCCACTTTTGACTCACTTATAAATCACCCACACTACAGAATTATAGTAGTTTAGCTGCCATGGCTTCATGCTATAGAATCCTGAGATTTGTAGTTTGTTGTAGCACCAAAGCTCTCTGACAGGAAGGGTAAATAATATATTGCAAGACTAACAGATCCCAGATTTGATAGCATTGAGCCATGACAGTTAATGTAGGATCAAACTTTTCATAATTTTGCAGTGTGGAAACATCCTCAGTAAGCAGCAACCTATAATTTAAGAGGCACTATTGGGAAAGACCTGTTTAACCATACCTGATGTGCCAAGAGCTACTTTCAGGATATTCAGGAACAGCTTTGATTGCAATTAACCAGAAGGATCTCAGGAATAAAAAGGTGTGGGTAGACTTTATTTTAATTAAAAGAAATGCCCATGTGATTATCCTCAGAGATGAACATATTCACCCTAATTAAATAAGGAGTCAAGTAGGGTATCATGGCTTAGTGCACACAGCCTTAGAAAAAACTTAAGTGAACAGAGTAAATTAACAGTATCAAATCAGTAATTTTCATTAGAAATACTTTACAGAAATCACACAGTTATTTAATGTATGTGATTAGATGATACCACTAAAAATGTCATATGGGAATCATGACATTATGAGTGGAGATGTGAAGAACCCAACTTCTGAGATGTGTGTGTGTGGAAATGATGCACACCTTTAAAGAAAGAGTCATTCTCAGAGTTTGAAAACATTACCTAGGGACAACGATTCCCACAATCTCCAAGCCAGCATGGCACTTGGTTGATAATTCTAAACAAGTAACTTTCCCCAGCTCTAATAAGTGGAAAGATCTTTCAACCTACCAAAGGGAGGTGGTTTAGCAGTTCGAGCTCATCTACAGTGACGTCATCATAGTTTTCCGAAAATGCAGGTTCAAGCAGTTCCGTCTCATCCCGAAGGCTCGGTGGGTTCAGTTCTTCCTGGCTGTGTTGCAGAGCACAAATGTACATTTTGTTCAACAAATTCTTAGGAACTTTCTTGCAGTTATTTGCCTTTGTGTAAATGACACAACTGAACTAGCTTCATTATTTTATTAGAATAATACACTGGCACAATATAAGACTATTCATAGTCCTCTTATAGAAATCACTTTTCTTCAAAACGCAATGCAGAACATTTTGTTTCATATATAATTATAATAATAATTAAGAACAAACGAGTGAGTTTTGCATAGAATATATATATGCATGCACATCTGGTTTATGATCTACTTTCTTTTAGTAAATGATTCTTCTTCTTCCAAGCTATATCCATCATAAATTTCTCTCAATAGAAAGTCACTCTTAGGAAATGCTGCTTGCACTTTAAGATATATTACAGAGAGACTTGTGCTAATAGCTCATTACTGCTCTAGGCATTTAAAAAGGACATGCCCTCCATGCCTCTTGTTTTCCTACCTTCTTTTCCCAGTTAAGACAGAGTTCAAATACTTCTTAACAGCCATCTGCTTTCGAAAGCGACTGTAATTGTCAGTGAAGACAGCATCAGAGTGGCGTTTCACTGGCATCTGTTCATCATTCCTTGAAAATCAACGACAATTATAATCAGCGCATTAATTCTCAGCCTCCTAAACAAGCAAGTCCCTGTGATGAAAAGTTGCCTAGCTGGTGGCAAGTTGATTCTCAGAAACCTTTGCCTTAGCTTATAGACCTCCCTATGTGTTAATTGTGTTATGTGTTAAATGTTTTGATACGGCCAATAGGCCAATCAATAAAACGTATCTATCTATCTTATAGACCTCCCTCTATTTTCTAAGTAAATATGTCTAATTAAGTATCTTGTAGGATAGTTGTAAATCATTGGTGGAACATATGTTTTCTATGCAAAAGTGATTTTGGGTCAACTTCTGACCTATTCAAATAGTGTTAGGAAAAAAACATTGTTTCACATTTCAGATAGTGCTGGAAAAGAATGTTGCATGACACCACCAGACTGAATGAACAAATGATTTAGTTCTGTGGGAGGTGGCTTCCTGTGCTCCTTCAGCCCTCGAGTTACAACCAACCAACTTGCATACAATCCCCTAATTACAAATTGGAGTGAGACAAGAGGAAGTGCTACTTGCAGAAACTGGGAGTCAAGGTTTTCCTGAACATTTCATAAGAATGTATGTGAAGGAGTTTTATACTATAGCAACTTGAGTTTGGTGTGATGCTGGTGGTTCCCATCCTCTTTGCCTATTTGGATGGATTTTCATTGTTCCCATGCAAAACAAACAAATGAACAGAAGCAGCAAGATACAGCTTCATCTACAAATCAAATTTCACAGCTAGACTACAATGAGAGTGTTCTTCCTTCACTCCAGCAATACATTCTTCACTAAACCTTGTTACTACATTATATATACATATACAATAGTGACATAAATATTCCGATCCTCCAACACAGTGGTTCTCAACTTGTGCGTCCCCAGATGTTTTGGCCTTCAGCTGCCAGAAATCCTAACAGTTGGTAAACTGGCTGGGATTTCTGGGCGTTGTAGGCCAAAATACCTGGGGACCCACCAGTTGAGAACCACTGCAACTTTTTTGTTGAGAGTTAGTAGGGAAAATGCTCTATCTTGGGAAAGTGTAGTCACTTACCCAACTCTTTTCCCAATAAGTGATTCCAAATATCTCCTTGCAGAAAGCTGACCCAAAAGTTTGCTGTAGCCACTTGTGAAGAGTCCATCAGCATGCCTTGCACTTCTGTAAAGGAGAATTCTACAGTCAAAACAAACTGAAGAAACTGAGCATTAGTTCTTTTAAAAACTACAAGCCCCATTTTCAATACAGAGCATTCCAGGAGTTGCAGGCTAAAAATAGTTTGCCCATGATCATTTTAATCATTTTTAACATTAATACGTATTTAAATATTTGTACTTAAGGTGCACCTATCACACCATTCCAGTTACAAATATACCACAAACTTCCTCTAAATTTCAATTGCATTATCTCTAACAGCAATAACAAATCTTAAGAATCATGAAGAAGAAACTGGGACTGTGGCACAGCATCGGGACTGTGGCACAGCTGGCTGGGAGTCAGCTGCATTACGATCACTACTAACCAAAAGGTCATGAGTTCGAAGCCAGCCCGGGTTGGAGTGAGCTCCTGACCAATTTGTGTAGCTTGTTGTTGACCTTTGCAGCTCGAAAGACAGTTGCATCTGTCAAGTAGGAAATTTAGGTACCGCTTATGCAAGGAGGCTAATTTACAATGCCATAAAAATCTCCAGCAAGCATGCAAAGAATGAGGAAATACATCATCAGTATCACAAATGTATGGTGAAGTGACAGCTCTTCTGGTGGCCAGAATACACTCATGAAAAAGCTGGAATATTAAATAGCCTCTGTGTGTCTGTCTATATATGTTATGTGTCTATGGCATTGAATGTTTGCCATGTATATGTACATTGTAATCCGCCCTGAGTCCCCTGTGGGGTGAGAAGGGCGGAATATAAATACTGTAAATAAATAAATAAATAAATAAATAAATAAATAAATAAATAAGAGAAAGCTGTCAGGCAGTTTCAGAGGACATGCCACAACTTTACCCAAATTGGTAATTTTATGTATTTATGCTTGCTGTGGTTATTAGATTTAAAAACTATCTTACCTGTCCATAGCTCTGGATACATCATAATAGTACTTGTCATTCTCAGGAAGTGTCGTCTGCAAAATATCACCCTCAGGTTTTAATGAGCCTTGAGCATGATCAGATTCACTTGCCCCCTCAAAGGGCATTCTGTTTCCTAATCTGGAGGAGACAGGAGATGCCAGAGAGCTGTCATAATTCATTGGAAAGAAACATAGCAGCATTTTGACAAACAGGGTTGTTAGCAATGACTAAGAAAACACTTTACAACAAACCCAAAAGAAGCCAGGTTGGCTCTCTCTCAGCTGTTCAATATAATTTTTGAATTTGTATCCCACCATTGCCAGTACAAGTCAGGAGGAAGCTTACAATGGAAATTAAACCAAAACAAAGCTAAAACCCATTCAGTTATAGTAGTAAAGAATAATTCCAAAGAATTAAATATGCTATGATCCAAAAAAACAAAGTACCAAATGAAAATGATTTGTAAACATTAAAAATATATCTAGAAGAAGGAAAGGGAGGATAACACCCCAGCCTCATTAAAAGAACCCTGCACCCACGTCTTTGCTTCTGGAAGATGAAGAGCAGATATCTCAAGGAACCAGCATAGATGTTGCAGTGGTCTTTAATTGTACAAATTACTGCCACTGAAACCTGGGCATCTAGGCTCAGGAGATAGGCCAGGACTATGCACAAGTTGTAAACATTGGTTTTCAGAGGGAATATAACCCAACCAGCACACTTTGAATTTCTCATGTTTCCTGATCTGCCGTTGAAATGACCAGGGACAGCTCTGCCTTGTCTGGCTTAAGTTTCAGTTTGTTTACCCTCATTCAGAAACTTGTTTGGATGAAACTTGTTTAGTTCCTTAGAACTACATTAAAAAAGGGAAAAGGGTGGAGTATCATCAGCATACTGATAGCATTGGGCCCCAAATCTCCAGATAACCTCTACCAGTATTTTCATGCAGATATTATATACCATGTAGGACAAAGCTAGGCCATCAGACAAGAATCTCCCAGCATCACCTTCCTCCTTGCCTCTCCAACAGTTCCCCTACATCCCATCCTGGAATAGTGGTCCAGGAGGATAACATAATCATGATATTGAAAGCTGTTAAGAGGTCCAGCAGAAGCCATCTTGAGTGAATCTAAATATTTTATCTCATCAAGGAATCCCTAGACTCATCAACATTCAACCACATTTTTAGGACCTTGTGCAAAAATGTAATATTGAAATATTTGATCTACCAAAGTGGCCAACATAATCTCCATTCCATATAGCCAGTCCTTCCATCAGCAAGCAAAGAAAATTCTATTCAGACATTCTTTTTGCACTTAAACTGAATTTCTGTAGAATGCTTTTTAGTAGATGCCTTTTAACAATCTGTTCATGCATTGTTAATTACATTTCAAGTAATATTTAATGTTTTTCATTTTATTTTATTTCTGTTTGACTTTATTATTTTGAAGTACATGGAGTATCATTTTAAGATATACACATTTAAGCTGAAACACATTGCTTTCAGTTCAATAGCCTAAAAGTCAGTGTTAGTGGGGTGTGTGTGTGTGTGTGTGTATCTCATTCAGTTCAATTTCTGTGAAGGGAAAACACGTCAGTGAGTAATTTACATGTTTCCAAAATGTTTGTACAATGTGTTGTACCATATTTTCACTTAATGCTATCAAGCTTCCAACATAATGCTGATAAAAATCTTAAATTGCTAGAATACAATTAAAATTTTAAAATTTGTGTGTCCTTGCTTGTTTATTGTATTTCTATAGTTTTGTATATCTAATGTTGCAAAGGCTGGAAGGGATACAAGAGAGGAAGAGTTTTCTGCTCATTGCCAAAGCAGCAGGTGGGTGAGAGCTGGAGGTGGATGGGAGATTTGTATGAGGCTAAATGCTAAAGCACTTATATTTCAGTTGCAAAGGACATATACATAGAGGTGGGATCCACACACTTACCCACCTAAAACATGACATACTTACATGTTTCTAAAGGGGGTAGATGTCTAATATGGGTGTATTCCCCCAGCAATATATAGTAAGGGAAATCAACAGATATACTGTGTTAACTCTGCCTTTCTCCTTTATGTTTTTCCCCCAGTTGCTAAGATTGAAGTACTACTGGCTCCAAGATGGTGTTCAGGAGCCATAATGTATTGTAGACCTCCCTCTACATGAGCGAGGAGAGGGATATGTTTCCAAAGAAGGAGGTTTATCTGTAATGCTTCCCCTGGATGGCAAAAGCCTTCTGCTAACTCTTGCTGTTCCTGCTCTGATAGCAATGGGGGGAAAAGTAATTCTCCATCAGTGGTAGTTGGTGGCTTCCATAGGTGCTGAACCTATTTAAGGGACAGAATCTAGGCCTTGATAGCTCCTTTAAAGTACAGAGTAAAACCCAAAGTCATTTCATCACCATACTGATGTGGGAACTACTAGCTATCACTGTATTCCAGGATTATGCAAAAACAGGAAACTTTAGCCCTGTTCATGCATTCGCTATTGAGAATAAGTTATTGAGAGATGAGTTTAGGGACTTCTGCCATCTCTCTCTCTCTCATCTGAAGACTAACTTTGTAAGAAGGAAAGCCTTCTTTTTTCACCTATCCTTTTCAGATTGTTGCTCTCTACCCATGAAGAGCAATGAAAGAAGCAAGAGGGACTAGTTCATTCTCCTCCTTGCATGTCCACTTATTCCAAATAAGATAATGCCTGAGTCACACAAAAATGTCCATCAGATCCACATCTCTGGAACAGGATAAAACCCTTGGAACTAGAATAGTGGATTTTTCACTCACTGAGGCACCAGGAAGAACATTTACATAATATTCTCTACCCAGTGGTGGCCTTATTGATATATTTTAATGAATAATATGTTTTCTACCACATAGGGGTTACACAACTATTTTTTCTGGAATTTGCTGTAAAAATGTATACTATCAATGCTCTTCTACTAGAGTATTCTGTTCTATCCTATCCTATTGTTATTTGATAATATTTCTATACTATACTGTTGTTATGCTATACTGTTTCCCAACTAATGATAGCTCAATATTTTTATTGTTAATATTTCTTCTAATAAAATCAAAACCTCTTTATAAACAATTTCAAAACTGCTTTAGGGATTATAACTGTTTTAGGGATTATATGTTACATCCTATAATTAGGAGACATTGAGATGTTGCAAGCACTAGTCAATAGATGAGGCAGAATCAGCATTTCTTTCCCTGTCAAGGGGCAACTATTTTTTTCTGTTTTGCCCTGAACTATATAAAAAGAATACCCCTCAAATGTTTGTTATGGAACACACACAAAAATAACTTGATTTTGATGTAGTTGCATTATCAAACTTCTTTAAATATTACAACCTGTAAATTAGGTACCTATTAAATCACATATATCCTATATAAAGGATTCAAAAATGTAAATGCATTTGTCATTCATGATTCTCAATATTAGTTTTGAGGACAATTCTTATTAAACTGACATATTAATTTAACCTCTTCATGTGGTTCCCTTCAATATTATTAAACCCTGCTACAGCTTTGAAGTGGATTCCTTGCTGTCAATCCTTTAAAAATGATTGAATAGTGATCACAAAAATAGCTGGATCCTCTTTGGAAGGAGCAAATTGTGTCAGATATCATCCTTGAAGCAAAACGATTCAAAAAAAGATCCCTTTCATCTGTTTCTGACACTTTTGTGTCTGTTAACAAGCTATTAGAGTATAAATGGGGCTTCTGAAGCTGAAATTGAGTTGGCTGGCATTCACCACTAATGACACCAAGACTATTTTCAGTGCTAATGCCCAGAGAGCTCATACCAACAATCATGAAAAGTGTGGATAAAACAACCAGTAATTGTGCAGCTTGAATCTGAATGTATATCCTCCTTCTCTTTGTAGCACTTTAGATTAAAGCCTTGCCATTCAGGCAAACATGAAAGACTTGCCGTTCAGGCAAGTATGAGTCAAGCTAGCAAAGTAATATTTTATTAGTGGAAAAACAGATAGTAGGAGTCACTTCATCCCATCACCACCCAAATACAAGGATTTCTATTTTCTTTCATAAGTCAATGTCAAGCTTTAATTCCTTTTATTATTTACTCTCCTTATGCTTCCAGGACAGCTGTAACTTTCCAGAATTGATGAAATATTATCATTTGGGAATTATATTTCCATAGGTGAGTGGGCTAGTCTTGGCTCTATACAACTGCTAATAAGCCTTATGTGCTCATCATAACCATGGTGAGTAAATGCCTTAAAGTAGGCAGGGTGCACTTAAATGCAAACAGGTAAATCATTGTATCATGGTACCTGCATAAGCTCTGTCTATAAAATCAAGAACTCTATATTTTCCAAATTAAAATAGATCATACGTACCCTAAAGGGACCCACATCCCACCTGATCTTGAAAGCTAAGCAAGGTCAGCCTTGGCTAATACTTGGATGGAAGAACACCATTGAATACCAAGTGACATAGGCAACAGTTCAGAGGAAGAAAAGGGCAAAACCAGCTCTGAGTATTTCACGCCAAAGAAAATCTTATACAATCTTATAAAATCATGGTGTCATCATATATTGACAAGCAACCCTAAAAGCTTAAAGGTTTGTCCAATTAAATAAATGCATTGTATAAATTTCATATAAATAGCCCACTGTATGCAGGGCCTCTTACTGTAAATCCATGTGTTTGCTTGCCCTCAGAGTTCTGTTGACTACAACTCTTGCCAACTTCTGAACTGTATAACATCTCTAAAATCAGTCAATAACTCTTCAAGTTAATATATAAAGACGCCCATTTTGAGAAACTTGAATTTGCACATTTGTATTTCCTAAACATTTTTCTCTAATATGCATTTCATTTTAATATGTGTGTTCATGAAATAAAACTGACCTTAAGTCTGTATCTGCATGTGTCTTTGTGTAGCATATTATTGACTAGCCAATTTATTATTTCCCAATTCTGGGAGAAAGCTAGCATATAAAATAAATAATAAAAATAATTATGGCATATTCATAGAGAGCAGATCAGATCAGATGTGCATCATTTCATCAGAATTCAGAAACATAGCTAACCGTCCTTTGAGGGGGGGGGGGGCTTCTGGGAGTTACAGTCTAAAACCTTCCTAAGCTCTCCTTCCTTTACAAGAGAATGGTGATAAGCTAAATGCCATCCAGCCTGAGGACCTGAGACCAAGAGAAGCAGCCAAATATGTTATAATTTCTACACACTAAAAAAGTGCTCATTAAAGGAATATCATGTGAGGAAAAATAATTTCCAAATTTACAAGTCAGTTGCATTTATTTTCACTTATGGGGTCGAAGCTCCAAAATGACATATATCACTGTTTTGGTTCTAAGAATTTCTTATGTTTCTCAAACCATTTACATTAATATTTAACAAATATTTTGCCTATTTTTCATCCAAATCATAAAGATTTGTTGTTGCTATGTGCTTTCAAGTTGTTTTATACTTATGGTATCCTCAGGCAAATCTGGCATAAGGTTTCCTTGGCATGAGGTATTCATAGGGGCTTTGCCATTGCCTTCCTCTGAGACTGAGAGAGTGTGACTTGCCCATGATCACAGAGAGAGTCTCCATGGATGAGCAGGTATTTATATCTAGGTTCCTCAGAAGACTAGTCCAACACTTGAACTACTAAACTGCACTGGCTCTTTCTAGTAGGTTGCACTGATCAGAAAATATTGCCATTTCCCTTCCTTTCTGGTTGCATTATCTATTAGTGTTTAGCCTATGTACTTATTGAGTTTGCTGTCAGAAATCAAAATATTTCTTGGATCAGTGGATCATAGCATTTGTTGTCAGATAGCTTTCAGGACTGAAATCTTACCTCATTGCTGAATATGTTCCCAGAGAAGGTAAAGCAAGAGTTTGGGAGAAGAAAACATAGAGAAGTGCAAAGGACAGGAGAAACTGGGATCCACTTCTGTGTTCCATCTCTTTGGACCTGGATTGGCAACAATGATACAAATATCAATATCCAGGTATTACAGAAAGAAAGAGACATTTGTCAGCAAAGTAGGAAGTTCATCCTTGACAAAAATAGAATGGATCCATCTTTCACATCTCAAAGTATCAAACAAGAATATGAACTAGATATATTCACTAGGTTGCTTGATGTCAAAAGACATCTTCAGACATGATTTCTGCCAGAGGCAATGTATTTTCTTATCCTGAAACACGGACTCCTAATTGTAAAAAACAAAAATATTATTAAAATGATAGCTATCATAGTCATGAAGACTACGTTTGTTAACATAAATAGGAAAAAGAACGCTTTTATATACACTTTTATTTTACAAGTGCTATTTTAGTGATGTACAAATTTAAATTACAGAGGAACTTTAAATAAAACTTGATGTTAGAAAGTGAATAGTCAAGAGTAACATAGAGACTGGTAGAGGCAAAGATAGGTGCACTGAGTGCCAAACAATTTTACTAATTACATTTAATTAAAGTGTCATAATATTAACTTGCATCATAATATTAACTTGATTTGTAAGTGGTTTAATCCTGTTGCTAAAATTGCATTATCTAGGTTTTGCATTTCAACAAGACAAATTAATGTACTGAATTTTCCTTGAAGTGAGATGACAAATAAAGGCAGTTTGCAACCAAAGACAGCAGTTGCTTCGAGGCACTCGAAACGCAATGGGAATTGGTCCATAACATCTGTGTTCAGGATTTCAGAACAAGAAACAGGCTACTAATGAGCTGGAATGAGTTTTCACACATGGCTGCAATGCACAATAATTCACTGTCATGCAAAACCATCCACGTTATTTGACAGTGACAACAAGGAGTACAAGATTTTTCTTTAAATTCACCTGCTCTGACCAATGCAGTTAATATTAAAATTCAGTTCAAATGCCACTGACATTCAAGTGGACAATTTTGGTGGAAGTGTTTTGTGCAACATAGCCTGCCCTTGAAATATTATTTACATGGGGAGAATTAGAGGAAAAGAATGTACAACAAGGGAAGGAGGAGGGAGTCAAAACTGTGATAAAATAATACCAGAACAGTGCTGGGAAGGGCCCTGATAAAAATAACAGTCAAAAGAAAGTTGAAACAACAGTATTCAGGAAAAAATTAAAATATTAATTAGAAGAAAGAAGTTATAATTTTACCCAAGTCTAAGGAAAACTTCAGTTACTTGAGAGAAGTTTTAAAATGCATCAGACCAAACCAATTCCTTTACTAGATTCCTTTTGAGGCATGCAAATGAACTTTTCCCATCTCACTTTGGAAATTGATTTTACTGCAAATAGAAATTCAAGGAGTCCTCTCCCAAAAATAAAAAAACCCATACAATTACTTTAATAGTTAAGAAAGAGCTTTCTTTAAAATCGAGTATGGCAAAGAGAAACAGGGAATGTTTACTTACAAAGGATGAAGGAGACTTTCTTGTCTTCTCAAGAACAGGATAGTACCCTGACCAAAACAACAGTGGGAGCTCTCCTGAGTGCTGAATGCCTCTGCAGCTGTTTTGGTTGCTCCGCAGGTTTCTTCTTCAGATACCGAACTGGAGTTTTGAAGGAAAAGTCTGTGCTCTGCTCCCTCCCTCTAATTGCTGGTCTGAAGTTTACCAGCTCTCCTCTCTAGGCTGATGCCTTCTTTCCCCTTCAGTGCACTCTGTGCAGTCTTTCAATCTGTCTCATTTTGTAGGTTTTTATATATGTATCTACAGAGGGCCACTTCCCTACTCCAACAAGCAATCACGTTACATTGAAGACGTCACATTCCCAAGGGAACATATCTGAAATATCTGTGATGCCTTTGTTCAGGATGTTATAAGACAAAGGAAGTTCATATTTAATTCATGGGAAGCCCCCTCCTCCTGCTTAAATTGATTTATAGCAAGATTGATGAATGACTGGGCATGAGTAACATCGGACTGGGCAAAGAATCTAGCTTTTAGAATGCATGGCCAAATCCTGCCTTCAGGACCAAGGAATTAAGATTGTAGTATTAAGTGGTGATTTAAACTAACATGGTTTATTCTCCCTCCCCCAAGTCCATGATTTTAAAGGAAATGAAGGGCTGGAGACAAAAAGCACTCTTAACATTCATATAAAAATCAGAATGAGATCTCAGAAAACCTAAGATGGTTTCATCATTCTTCTGGATATATTTTTATTTCTACATACTATGATTCAAACACATCTTAGTTAACTATATGTTTAAGGATATATTTATTATATTGCTACTTTATGGTCTAAATCTATATATTTTGGCATAATTTTTTTTGCAATTCAGTGTTAAAATATATTGTGTGGCATGTTAAAGTTAGAGAAGAGACAAAACTAGATATTTGTTCAGTAGAATCTTCCACTTTTCTCCAGCAGTTTTTGTTGTCATGTACCTTCAATTTGTTTCCAATTTATAAGATGAACCTATTTGGGGTTTTCTCTGCAATATTTGTTCAGAGGAAGTTTGCCTTTGTCTTCCTTTAAGACTGTGAGAGTATGAATAGGTTTCCATGGCCAAATGGGCTTTTGAGCCCAACACACAAACCTTTGTACTATGCTGGCTATACTGGAGCAGATATCATTTAGGATGTCCTTTTAAAAAAATCATTTCATAAATATCCTAATTCTCATGATATGAAATGAGACTACTGCCTATACTTTTCCAAGTCATAGCTAGGTTGCTTAATACATGTATGCCACAATTCTTGAGATAGTTAAGCCCTGTTGAACATAGTGAGGCTGCTTTCCAGCTAAATGTCCTCTGTCTGATTTCTCATGATGACTTGTAGATTTGTTCTTTAAAGGCTAAGGAATCAAAGGAACAATTTTAAGATGTGAAAATATGCATTCTGAATTTTGGAATGCAAAATTTGGGGGCATCTTTGCCCACTTCAGCAACTCCAGCTAATAAGGCATTAGTAAAGAATTGTACCCATTAACTAAACCAGATAGCGGCTGGCATTTGACTCTCTAGTCTGTTTGCACCATTGATTCCCTAAAATTAACTAGTTTAATATAATTTCTTGAAAATGGGAATGCTGAAGGAAAGAACACCAGGCTAATTGTTACTACCAAACCCCCTGAAATCTTAGAAGCTCAATAATCTCCTGCAAATTAAAAAAAAGGGTATCCATTCATTTTCATGAAATCCCAAATTTCTTTTATATGAGCAAAGGTTCAATAGAGTAGGTTCTTCCTGATGTTTCAGTTCTGTTTGTAACATCTAAAACTTAAATATATGCATAGTATATTGGCCTGAGTCCTGGACAAAGACTCCAGGAAACCAGGGTTCTAATGCCTCTTGGCATGGATACCAACTGAGTACTTTGGGTATATCACACTCTCTCAGCCTTTAAGGAAAGTAATGGCAAATGTCCTCTGAATAAATATTGCCAAGAAAACCCTATGGTAGTGATGGCATACATTTTAAATTCTCAATTATATAGACAATTCTTTGCACCATAGATTTTTTACTATACAAGGAATATTAGCAACCACCATTATGTTTATCTCAGCTGCTCACCATTAGAAACAAAGCAACTGTATTCTGTCACTTAGTGACATTAAGTTTCAGGATTCAACTCTCAAGACTTGTTTATCCACAAGCCACAATTTTACAATCATGACTTTGAAGGAATTGTTTAAGTTTCATTGATTCCAGTGAGGCAAAGTTAGGCAGCAACAGGACCAATGCATTGAATCTCACTGATTCATAGGACTTTTAAATTGTCATTTGATCTTTAGCTAGAGATGTCACACTCTCATGACTCAATACCACTGAAATTAGTCAGGCTTACTCAAAAGTAAATCAGTTTAGTGTTACTGCTCCAAAGTCTGAGAAATGTGGAAGACCTATTTCCTCTTCCTTCTAATAAACTTTCCATTGTTCCTGAGTTTTGCTTATTCACAAATTTAGATGGTGAACATTCAATGACTCTTAATCACTTGTTTTAATTCACTTATATTTTTAAAAACGGAGCAAATTAAGCAAAAAAAGAAATTGTCTGGAAATGTGTTTCCTGGATAACAGCTGTGACGTAAACCAGAGTTCCTGCACAGGACTAATTCAAGGAAGTTTGTTCCCTTGTTAATCTGTAAATGGCTGAGACACAAAATGGTTGTGCTCAGGAACAGCAATGGGCATCATTTCTGTAGAGTCACTTTCCTTTTTGTTCAGTTTGCTACTTTGCAGGTAGGAAACCAAAGGAGGGCAAAAGGATAGAAAAAATGGGCTCAAAGGGCACAATCCACCAGGATGCCTGCTGCCCAGTAAAGGAATTAGAATTGTATAAGATCATCTCAGCAATATAGACCACCAATGCCACCATTTTATGCTGGTTTATATTGACTAGGAGATACTGAGTTGTAGCCAATGGCTCTGGTTGCTATATATGTTAAACATGAAATTTCCATCCAACTACGAACAGCAGTTAGTCATTTAGTGAGGAAGGTCAGTTTAGCTATCAGTATGCCTTTTGCTAATTTTGGTAGGTGCCGCGCTGCTGTTGTCGGTTTTTAAGTAGTTTCTGACTTATGGTGTCCTATCACAGTTTTCTTGGCAAGATTTGTTCAGAGGCCTTTGCTTTCCACTGAGACTGACACAATATGACTTCCCCAAAATCACCCAGTGTGTTTTCATCACAAGGTGAAATGTAAAACCCTGGTCTCCAGAGTCATGGTCCAATGTTCAAAATACTATATTACAATACCTCTCTTACAGACCAATGTAAAAGTATGTAAAAAGCTGTGGACCATTGTGTATTCATGGGCTAGATATCCCATTTCCCTTGCTCAAGCAGAATGCTCTCTTTTTAAACTTTCATCATATTTCAGAGATGGAGAACCCATCTCCCTCTAAATATTGATGGCCGTAATGAAAGTTTATATCAGTCGGAATTAATTGTGAGAGATGGGAGCTGAAATCCACTGACAATCCCCAACCTCTCCATAAAAAGAATATAATAAAAGTTTGGCAAAAGATAGCCTGATTTTGAGTTTCTGTAAAAGAATCAGTACCTTAGATTATTTGTTTAGTGCAGTGATTTTGAAATGTGGACCAGTTTCATTAATTTATTTATTTACTTACTTCATTTATATACCGCTTTTCTCAGCCCTTAGGCGACTCAAAGCGGTTTCATAGCACAGATTGGAAGAAATGTGTGTGTAAAAGTTTAAGACTTCAAGATGCCTGTCAACTCTACAAATTTCATAGGGTTTCCAAGCTAAAGAATAACCAGAGGTGGCTTTAAGCATACTTTTATTCGATAACAGTGACAGAAGTTCTACAGTCTCAACAAATCATGCTGTGTTCTGCTTTCCATGACTTGGGAATGCCGTGGCTTAAAGTGGCCCAACCCCACCACCTAGTGGTTAAACAAAACCATTTCTTAATTTCTATCAGGACATTTTAATTTGTTTATAATTCCATATTTTAAAAATCTCAAATACAGAAGACTCTGGATTATTTTTTCATCAGATCTGAGACAAAACATGATCACTGGAGGGGAGGCTGGGGTGAACTTTCTCAAGGTGGTTCACAAATGAAATTAAAAGGCAATAAAAACTTAAACTATAAATCATGAATTCAACTTCTTATAACATTTCATTTCAGTACACCTGTTTTATTTAAACAATAATGCTAACAATGTTAGTAATGACAGCAAACAGTCAAATCCAAATAAAGACTAGCCTTTACTGCTATACTGCTAAAATCAGCTTGGAGAACATTCAAGGCAGTAGGGTTTATTTTAAAACCAATAGGGAGTCAGTTATCTATGAAAGAGAATTCTATTTGGATGGTGTCACCATGAGAAATACCCTCTCTTTTGTTGACTACATTTGTGTGCCTTTGAGCAGGGCTTTTGGGTCTGTTTCAAGGCTTGGGCACATTTCCAAAGTTGTAAGCAGCATTAGAAGCCCTTCAAATTCTTATTAATAATGTTCAAGTAGAATCTTGCTTTTGGGGGAATGGTATCGGCTTTTGGGTTTTAAAATATTATTTTTGTTTATTTTTCAGTTTATTGTTCTATTTACAAAAAATTAGGAATGGAAACTTGATGTTCATGGGTAAAGGCAATTCCACCTTGTGTTCGCAATAATGTTGGAAGATACATATCAAAAGGAGTGCTATGGGACACAATGAAAGCGGTGGTGAGAGGGTTATGTATAAAAGAGACAATTAATCTAAAATAAGGCAAGAAGAAAGGAAAAGGAATTTAGAAAAAGAAATAGAGCAGCTTGAAAAAGAACATGTAATAAAGAGAGATATACAAATTTATGTAAGGTTGAGAGCTAAAAAAGAGGAATTAGATAAAATGGAAATAGATGACGTACAAGAAAATTTAATATATTTAAGGAGGGAATTTTTTGAATTTAGTGATAGGAATTCAAAGATGTTAGCCAAATCCACACAAAAAAAGAAAATGGAAGGTATAATAAGTATGATAAAAAATAAAACGGGTAAAATATGTAGATCTATGAAAGAAAAATTGAAGGTTTTCAAAGAGTTTTACAAAGAACTATGCCAAACAAAAGCTCCATAGAAGCAATTAGGAAATATGTGGAGGAGTATTGGGAGAGTAGGTTGG